TCTTTGCACATTTTTTAAATAAAAAAATCGCAATTTCATTGTTTGGTTAATAAAGTGATTAGTTCCTCATTCCAGAGTATTTATACTTCATAGTTTCAGGTTGATTCCAGATTACCGTAACCTTTTTTTTTTTTTTTAAAGGGGTTTATGAATAGCATTAGATACCTTAAATAACAGGTATGTGATCGAGAATCTGTTCCTCCATTTTTTAAATAAATGTACTTATAAATGTACTTATTTAATTTTTTATTCATTGCTCACTTCCAATTCTATACTCACTACTTTAACTATTACAGGCTAGAGAAGAAGGATAAAATCAGTGTCAGTTCATCGTGAGGTGGACAACAACAATTCAGCACACCCGGATGGGTTGGAGGGGAAGAGATCACCAGCCATGAGGAAGTGAGCAAGAAAAACAAGCTGTGCACTGAAGGGAAGATGACTTGGAGGGTGGAGAGACAACATTCAGTTTGCATGAACACAAAATATAAAATATTTTGTAACAGAAAGAATGTGAGAGGCGAAATCATGTTTTGTTTCGTTTTTTTCTTTAAGGCAAATTCTCCAATTTAAATTCTCCATCGCTATTGGGTATCAGTCTCTTAGGGCTGGTCATCTCTTCTTTTCTCCCTTCTAGAATATAAATTTTTGTTATATTGTATAAGTATATATTGTTAAAACACTTTACAATACAGTATTTTATGGTTTATCTTTTAATTTTTCCCTATTATGTTATTCTTATACATTTTCCTAAGGTCCACATTTGTGTGACCATTCTTTTCAATAATCTTTTGCTGCTATAAACACCAGCATTTCCGTACTGTGGGACAATAAATAGATTTTTTTATTATATTCTAAAATAAAGACAACTGGCTATAGGTTGTTTTATGTACATCTGCATTGAGGATATTTTGACAGTGATTTAACAAGAAAGGTTTCCAATGCCTAAAATATGCATGCATGTACATTTTTACTAACTCTCCAGGGTTTAAATGTCTGCCAGTGCTCTCTCTTGACCTTTCCTAGTTTTTAATACATGAAACAAATTACTGCTGTGCCTGCAGGACAGAGAAGGTGAATGAAGACCCTGTGAGGAGAAAGCGACTGTGTATGCAAACAGGAGACTGCGTGTGACACTTAAGGATGTGACTCGTTAAAGCTTAATCCTGGTGAGAGAAAAAGGCCACGGGCAGAGGCTCACTGAGTAATAAGCTCCCTGATCTGAAGTGGGCTGTGGAATAACAAACGTGGCAGCACAACAACAATTGGTCTTAGTCAGAATTTTGAGGAGAAGGTGTTCTCTAACACTTGACACAGTGGGGATGATCTCAAAAATACACGTTTTTGAGAAAAAAGACAAAAACAAAACAGAGTGAGCTTGTAGGATAAAAATACCTGCATGCTTTTATCAATCTGCTACTTAAAGAATTTAATAAAGATAGTTCATGAAGGCAATTGCCTGAATGGGGGTTTTGGATAACTTCCACATCCAGATCTCAGCGTTCAGGAAGATCTTAATGGCATATTAATACTTAATGATAATAATAATAATTGAACTTTTTTGATCTCACATTGGAAAAAAAATTACGTCTGCATTTAATCCATCCCCTTGGGAGCAGTGGGCTGCCATTGTGCGCCCCCCAGGGAGCAGTGTGGGGTTAAGGGTCTTACTCAGGAACCGAGAGTGGCAGTCTGTGGGAATGGGACTCGAATTCAGAACCTGAGCTTCCCAAGCTCTATATGCAAAAACCACTAGGCTGCCACTGATAGGTCAGTGTTTTACTGAATCAACTGCAGAGACCTGAAACCATTGAGTGGGATTTTCTTTTTGCTTAAGTATGTTTACTAACTGCACTGCTGTGGATCCTACACAGCTTTTCTTTGCTGCGATTTCACAGTGAAATGGTGGGAGAATGAGCGTTCCCGACAGCTCCTGTGATTTCCACACAACATATGCGAACAATAGCCCACATACTGCAGCTCTGCCGCTCGCTGTTATGAGCAGGCTGCGTTCAACTGCAACAGTTGTCACGGTGAAAACAAATCAAAGCCTCTGACTGCAGACAAGGCCAAGCATATTTTCTGCACAAGAAAAGGCAACAAGACCCTCAATCCTGCAGCTTTTTGCTTCCAGAAAACATCCTTCCTTGTCCTGCACCTCTAAAAGTATTCAAACAGTTTTTTATTTTTACTTTCTAATATTAGCCCCCATAGCAAATACAAAATGTCATGTATTTCATTAAATCCCATGTGGATTAATACAATTTCACAGAGCATTATTTCAGGGCTGAAACAATTAACCAGATTAATCATTTATAATTGAATATTGAAATAATATCAACTAATTTAGTAATCGACTAATCATTAACTGAAGGATAGAGACTCATAATGGTGCCTTTACGTGACTGCAACTCACTTAGAGCAGTAATTATATCAAAATTATGAAAAAAGAAATATAAATATTTTTGCATTAAAGATTAAAAGAAACAACAATAAAAAAAAACTTTTTCTTCTTTAAATATGTTTTATCCAGAACTCCTCTAGTGGAAAAGTTTTAGTTTCACCTGGTTTAACTACAAGAAAACTCTTCTTTAAGGAAGCTTTTGCAATCCGATTATTAATCAATTAATCTAAGAACAAAGTCGACAGATTAATCGATTTGCAAAATAATCGTTAGTTGCCTACATTATTTAATCCACCACTCGATACAGGTTATGAACACCGCACAGCCCCCTGAACATACCATTCCTAAAGTGAAACATGGTGGTGGCAGCACCATGCTGTGGGAATGTGTTTCTTCAGCAAACACAAGAAAGATGATTTGAAGAAATGCTCAACTAAGAACGCAGAAGGCTTGAAACAGGGAAGGAGGTTGGAACGATTAACTTTAAACGTTGAGCCAGAGTTATGATGGAATGGCCTAGTCAAAGTCTTCATCTGTGCAGAAAAACTTTTACCTGTTATGTGGCATAACCTGGCAATAACTGCTGACTGATTCTTTCGACCCACTTACATTATTCTTGAGTCTATGTGTGTAAAGCTGGTGGGGAAATAATCCAATTAACTAGCAGATATTATTACTGAAAAACAAATTGATGTTGCTTTATGTTTGTTTGAAAAGATAGAACGGTGTCAATATATTAGCAAACCCCTTGTACAATGATTTATATTTGCTGCTTTATTATTAAAGTGGTGGGATGTGAAATGTATTTTCCAGTGGACAGCTCAGTAATGCTGCATTAATTAAATTAACTACAGTCTCCAGTTTCTGCATTTGTTTAAGTCGGTCATATATAAACAAACATCATCACAGAAAAATCTAATTAAGTCAGAGCAGAACCAGAAGAAAACGGTCAAATATCAGAGTCGAGATGTAAACTGCAGATATCATGAGTGAAAATGTGTCTAAAATGGTAAAAAAAAAAAAAAAAAAAAAAAAAGAGAGAAGTACATTGTGGTCTCTTCTTTCATCTTTTACATCATTTCACCTTCATGTCCTTCCGACCTCAGTGGTTTCCATCAAACAGTTACGGCTGCTTCAAATAGAGGTAAATTCACCACAGCCTTTGTCATTGCCACGTCACCAAATGCTCAGTGCTAATGCCGATCGTGTCTGGGGGGGGTTTCTGTGAGTCTGATAAAGGCTAAAGATTAAATGTGACGGTCCAGCTGTTGCTTTTCCCATCATTTTTTTTTTTTTAACAGGCTGAGAAGTAGATTAACTTCCCTGTCTGTGTAAACATCGAGCTGTTCCATTTTATATATACCCTGAAGCAAATTGCGTTAATAAATCCCATGGTGGCTGACAAGTCTGTCAACATACAGCCCAGAAAGCACAATCGAAAATAAACTTATGGATATTTAAATTTTCTCACAGCTCAAGGGGAATGATCTGATTAAGTATAAAATAAAAAATAAAAAAATCACAGAGCAGCATTGCAGTTACTTTATTTCACAGGGTTAAAATAATTATCTATAAAATCACAGAGACAGTCTTAGATGGTTTGGGGCACCAGTTAAGTTCAACAGGCATAACAGCATCACTGACCACCCCTCACTTTATATATTCATTTATTTTTTCTTCATTTTTGTTTGGTAATCAATATGGTTTATTGTTAGCCAACAGAATTCAACTAAAAGCATAACAGAATCTTTTTGAATAGATCTTTAGTCACTTTAAATGTTCTTAAATAAAAAGCTCAGTTTAAACCTTTTTAAATATATACTTAAAAGGTGTGTATATATATATATATATATATATATATATATATATATATTTTCTTTTTTTTTTTTTTTTTTTTATATATATATATTTTCTTTTGTTTTCTTTTGTTTTTACTATGGACCTCTTTTGTGTCTGAAATAAAGATTGATTGATTGATTGATTGATATATCCTTTAGAATAATTTGTAAAAAGCCTTCCTGAAATTAGATGGAAAACAGAGTAAAGCTCTTAATTAAGAATTATTTTTCTCCTAACTAAATATCTAAATACTCTGGAGGCATTAAATGATTCTTTATCTGCAATTGGTCAGTTGCTTAAAGAAAAAAAAAAGATTTTAAGTAATTTAACAACTAAATGTCTCAGTAAAACTAAACTCTACCTATTTGGATTCAAATTCTTTTGGCAACAGGAGTCAGAAACCTCATATGTTCCTGTAGCTGACCCAATTAAATCACATAACTAATTCAGTATAAATTAGATTTTCTGTTAATATCTGCTTACAAGGAAACTGATTAAAGTGACAAGGGAGGGAATACTCATTTCCCGTATGCTCTTATCTGTAAGCAGCGGTTTAACCTGTCCATTACATAACAAACGACTACAATAAATGTTCATTAATTAAAACAATGCATCATCTATGTTATATTAAAATGGCTGAGGTTGTGTTCCACTATAAATAGTCACATTCTTACTGGTAACAGGTGATCTAGCAGCTGTTGGTTACTTTAGGGCAATTTCTGCTCAGTTTTAGGTTTCATTTAATGTTTGTATTTACCTGGGAAGCTGGCGCTGACAGGGATGAAGCTCAGCAGCAGCAGAAACAGCAGCGGAGCGGCGGAGAGCAGCAGCATAGAGGCCCGCTGCAGGTGGCCGCACCGCGGACTGGAGCGCAGCAGCATCCTGGGGGTCTTCTGCTTGACGGAGGTCCGGAGAATGTTGCAGTCAGTCCCCCATCACTCTTATTTCAGTCTCTGTCTGCTTCGCTTGTTTTTTTTCTTGCGTGTTTATAGACAGAGGCAGTAAGCAGAGCGCAGTTTGATCCACACGCACGGACTGCGCTGCGTAATCCTCAGCAGGGCTAAAGATAGTGTGGAGGAGGAGGAGGAGGCGGAGGAGGCAAGTGTTTGAAATGATGCCTTCAGGACTCCCTCGTAAAATTCAAAATTATACATGCACTGGGTAAATCCCAACAAAAAAGCTACTTTCATTTGAGCAAACCATTTTTTTTCATTACATAAATTTATAACACGCACACTGATATATATTCCAAACCTATATTTCTGTTAATTTCGACTGATGTAGGTTTTTAGACCTTTATGCATATTTAAAGGTATAGTGGACATGGACGAAGCTAGATGGGTGGCCAGGGGTGGCCATGGCCCCCTACCATTTTTTTTTCCTTTCTGTGGTGGATCCTACGAAGGGTAAAAAAAAAAACAAAAAATAAACAGCTGGTCGAAATCCGTGGGTGCGGATTGATAAACTGAGCGCACGGTTTTCCAATCCATGCGCCCAGATTAAGAAACTGTGCTTTCAGTTTATTAATCCGTGCCCGTGGATTGAGAAACTGTGCTCTCGGTTTATTGATCCATGCACTAAGATCAATAAACTGTGTGCCCTGCGTGCACACGGACATACAGTACATAAAATTAGTACATATGCACAGCAATGTGCTAATATTAAAGATAAGTACAGAATTCCTGCTCTTTTCAGAACTAGATTTTGTGTTATATGGGGTAAAGAGAATATAATGTGTCTGCAAATCATCTAGTAGTCTTCAGTGAAATCATAAATAACTATTTTAGTAAAAACTTATTAAATAATCAATTTATGTAGATATTAGTACTTGTAAATGTCAATTTTATGCATAATGATTATTGATAAAAGTAGGTAAGTAAGGACAATGCAAAAGATGTTCACCCCTCAACTCTAACCTGAAAGAATTGTTCCACTTTATTCTAGAAAGCATGGATGTTGAAATATATGCATCTATTTGTTAGGAAAGGCTGTAGGAAAGTATAGTTAGTCTTTATGTAGTAAATATGGACGTTGTGCTCATTAATCTTCCTGTTTGAACAGTGTAGATTGACCCACAGGTTCTGGCGCCGATCCACTTTCGGCCAATCCCTCAGTGTACATAGGTTAATGCCTGGCCACCCTTATAAAAAAATTTCTAGCTACGCCTCTGATAGTGGAGGATGTTCTTTTTCTGGGTGGATCATCATTACAGGCGGTCAATCATTCTGGTGATATATTTCCGTAAGGCCGTCCTAAATGCCCGTCCCCATCTTCACTTAATAGTGGTGAGTCTGATATAGTGTAAAAATTGCAATCTTCTTTTGGAAAATAAGTTTGTATGAGTGATGCAAACAGAAGCTTTTAAATGGAGTGTTCACAAGGAGAAATTGGCTCATGCATGCTCTTGCGTGCAATTAATAGGTGTTCCCTCTTGGGAGCGGGTACAGGATTGTGCATGTGCATTTATTTAATTTTTTAAGTGGAGAGGGAGGGTCTTTTCAAAAATTCACGAATATCCTCCACTGTACCTCTAAAACAGCAATCATTAACGTCACCATTAATTAAATACGAGTTTTAACCAAGAATACTGGCTTCAAACTGGTTTTAATGTGTTAAAGCTGTATGTGTTTAAACCCAAAATCATTCATATTCATTTTAAAGATTAATTTGCTCCACCCAGAGGTGTATTCCTGATGGAAAATAAGAGTTTATTTGTAGATAATCAAACGATGTTGGCAGAAGAGCTAAAAGAGGTAGCCAAATACATTTGGAAAGAAATTATTTATGTTTTCCTTTTTTCTTTACATCTGTTAAAAAGTTGCAGGTTATAAATAATGTAAACTCTGTTTTTTTGGCATCAGAGAAGTCAACCTGCCTTTTTGTATCTTCACTTTTTGAAGTATAATAGCCTTTATTCTTAATATCTAGCTCTCCCCTTAAATCATGTGTCAGATTTAAGTCACTACAAAAAGTCATAGTGCTTCATATAAAAAAACTACATATTTGTTAAATTCAAAACATCACATTAAAACTCAATTAGCCCAAATTACAAAAAAAAAAAAAAATCTTAATTGGAGTGTACACCCTAAAAAAAGAGAGGTCAATACAACAAAACAAGTAGTAGTTAGAACAACCAATCTAATTTGGTTGTGTTTTTAACCAATCTATATTTGTAAAATGGAAAACCAACACAAATTGGTCACTTTGACCAAAATATTGGTTCAGTAGTGACCCAACAACCCTTTGGCTGTAAAGCAAACTCCTGCATTAAAGGCTACTATTCCTGCTAATGCTTTTTGAAATTCATTAGAAGCCAATTATATCCAAAGTAAAGGCAAAGATTTGCATGCTGTACATTGTAATTGTTTTCTAGGTCCATAACTATTACACACTATACTTGACTACAGCCAAACAGTGGGAGTAATAAACCATCAGTTACCATTTTATTTGGTTGTTTGGTTAAACAATTAAATTGCTTGATCCAAAACCAATGGCTTGGTCAGTTTCTAACCATTATAGTGGTTAATCTAACCAAAGTTGGTATAACCAGCTAGATTGGTTGTTTCTCCAACCAATCCATTCTTAGAGTGAACAATTCAGTCAAACAAGTGTATCATTAGTGTTCAACAAGGATCTGCATGCTATTATTATTACAGATAATATGTTTATTCTTGTTTTTGTATATTGCCTTTAAAATTATTGTCTTTGTTCTTTTACTTCCTCTTTATGTGACCTGAAAAAGGAAAGAAGCTATAGAAAATCTTAAGACCATCATTTTGTACGGGGAATCAAATTCCAACACTTATGGTTGACCCCTACACTGGCCTGGATAACGTAAAGTAAGCAACACCAAAACCAAATAATGTTGGAGTAGAGCAAAGTACCCCAAAATATGTCCTTTTATGCCTGAAAACATATTTTGCATTGGGCATGTTGGAGTTATTATGATTTCTGTTGTTTTTATCATTTTATTCATTTATATGTTTTATATTGCTCTCAATCATTTGTTTTTCTATATGTTACTCTTATCATTGGAAAAGTGTATGAAGGTCATAAGACAGTCAAATGTTTTGCCAGAATGCTTTCCTGTAGTTCATTTGAGAAGAAGAGAAGTGAAAAATCACATACTGAAACCAGGCAAGATTTTTGCCTTTTTGAGTCAGAGTCCCATGCACTCTAAGGGGGTTGCCCAAGCTTGGATGTGGCTTCAGTTGGTGGCAGGCGGCTGGGGCAGGTTAATCCATCATATTTTGTTAACAAGCTGTTACTGTAACTTAGCGTATAACTTATTTCATGACATGACTTGTCACTTGCTTGTTGTCGGTTGGAGCAGTTCATTTGAGCTGGAGCTTTTTGGACTGTAGTGGGTAAAGGTACCAAGGGACTCACAGGGTTGAGGTCCCTGATAAAAGTGCTCTCGGAGCAAGGCTGATAGAGCCATAAGGTAAAGGTACCAAGGAAATAAAAGGGTTGAAGTCCCTGAGAGAAGCGCTTTTGGAACAAGGCTGTTGGAGCCGTAACGATACCTAGGTTATGGGATTGGAGTCCCCAGAGTGCGCAAAATAGAAGTGTAAACCCGTAATAGACATAAATAATAATAATAATAATAACACAACACAGAGTAGTAAAATAAATAAATAAAATAACATAAAAAGAATAAAAAAAAAATAAAAAAAAAAAAGGCCTAAATGAAAATTTAAAACATTAAAAAAATCGATAAAAAAAATGGGAAAACCTCGAAGCAAAATATCTTTGCACAAAGGAGATGAAAAATATTTATGGGTCGAATAAACCGAGACCACTTAAAATATCTTGAACAGTAATAACAGCTTTACAGCCTCAGTGGGCTGCTGTTTGCAATGCCATGCGCACTGATTTTAAAAAGAGGGCTGATTATGCCCATTTGTCCACTGTATTACAAAAACCAGGAGAAAATGTGGATGATTACAAAATTAGATCATTAGATTAGATTTATTAGGCACAGCTTAAAAATGGTTTAAAAAATGGGTTCCAGGCACACATTAGTTCCTGGATCAGAAAGCATTTGGTAGAGCACAGAACAGCTGATGTTGTGAGGATAATGGAGTAAGCTAGGCATGCAGCTGAAGTTACCAAGGAAAAGGGAAGTGGAAATGGAGGCAGAGGAGAAGTGTTTTACACTTACCTAGATTAGTTAGAAGTGTTTGTGAGAGAAAACAGAGGCAGAGGTAGAAGTGGCCAGCATCAGGGGTGTTTGTTATGTCTGATATATATGTTTCACAAGATGAGGATGATAAATCTCCCATTGATTCTGAAGTTGTAAGGAGCAGACAAGAGCAAGCCCCACTAATTATTGGATCAAACAAGGAGCTACTAAGACAGACAGTGGAATTTACCAAGTTTGTGACAAACCTGTCTTACCAAAAAGTTTGTTCAGAACTGCAGCTATTTTGAGCCATGGGCCTTGCCATGTCTCAACAGCAGGGATGTGTAATGTTATACATTTTACTACCTATGGATTTCATTCTTATGCAAAGAGTTTTTGTAAAGCATGCATCACATGCATAAAACATAACCCACAAGGCAACATGAAACCTAAGAGAGGACAGTTTCCTCCACCCAAATTTCCATTTCAAAAGATGCACATGGATTTTTTTTTCATTGGAAAAGAGTGTATATAGGTCATAAGACAATCAAATGTTTTGCAAGAATGCTTTCCTGTTTTTCAATTGAGAAGCAGAGAAGTGAAAAGTCATAATCCCGACACTTTGTGTAAAGCATATACTGAAACTAGGCAAGTTCCCTTTCTTAAAAGTTCATGCTATGTCTAAGCGTAACTGCGTAACTGAAACTAACTGACTCCCCTTTGCAAAGCATTTCAGGAAAAATCTTACACTGTCTTTGTTTCCATTTTTTATAGGTTAAGGTTGGGGAAACTTAACAACCCTAACAGGGCACAATCAGCAGACGTTGTTGTACTCCTTTGCCATCTTCATGTTGTTCAAGTTTTAAGGCATTAGCTCCCTTTAGTGAACTCCAACATTCTAATTGTATTCTGAGCGCTCTTATGTCTTATCCCTTATGGCATCAAATAATTATCAGTCCTTTATCACATCAGATCCTGGACTTTTACTCTTTTTCACACTGCAGTTCAAGAAATGGTTGCTGGTCTTGTTAAGGTAAATAAAAAAAAAATAAAAAAACTTAAGTTTACTGACAAATACAGCAAAAACAACTTGTAAAAAAAAGAAAAAACAGAAATAAAATAGAGCACACCATTAAATGCAACCAGATTAACCTCTTTGCACTCCATAGAAATTTATAAAGTTATAGTAGGCTACATGAATTCTCCCTTTTAATTAACATAAATAGCCAAACATGTACCTATAAATATTTGGTGTCTGAAAATAAGGTGTGGGGGCCCAAAATGAGCCGCTTACCCTGGGAACCATTAATGCAATAACTGTCACTGCAAATGAGAGCAACTGGACATTTAGTTTATTATGGATTACAGGTTAGATAACACCTAAATAAATAAAAGTGAGAAGTATTACTTCAACAGAAAATGGAAGATATATTCATAATATTTTTAGGATCTATTGTTAAATTCATTTTAAGGTTTCAAAGCTAAGTTTGTTCCAAAAAGTTTAGGCTATTACAAAAAAAAAAAATTTGAGTTGGTCATTTCTAATAACCTCGAAGATTTCAACAATTAAAACTCAAATGGTTTAACATAAAAATCCAATTATGGTGTGACAACTCTATGACTCAGAAATCATACAATAAACTTTCATTTTAATTTCCCTCAGCGCTCCTATTAACCATGACCGACACTTTCTCGTAGCACCTGAATGCATCACTTTACTGGAGATTAGAGGCAGCAGCGCCATGACGCGGAGGAACCAGTTTACTAAATGACGTCCTAATTAGTTTACCTCATGACGCAAAGTGAAAAAAATCTCTCGATTATTATTATTAAAGTGTTTTCATATGAAGCAATTTTCCACCAAGCAGGGGGTGTTTGAAATGACCTTAGTGGCGATAAAGCAAAGATTGGAGATTTATTTTATCCCTAAAAACAAGGGTTATAGGTGGTGAGAAGAGTTCTGATCACTCTGTGGTTTTATAAAAGGGGAAATCCAAAGCTCAGTTAAGGGAGAAAAAAATAGTAAAGATGAATTACATGTAGATCAGCATTACTCTAAAACCACAACCCCACAGTAGCATTTACTTACCTTTAGGTTTCCTTCTATGATGTAACTTTCTCTATAGTAACAGAAAGATGTGAAAGCAGTATAGTTTTTATACGCCCACTTTGACTGGTAAACTTGCACGAAATCTTCTGTGGAAGTAAGGTTCACCTCAACAGAACTGACAACCTTACCACCATTGAGAAATTAACAAAATATAGACTGGAGGTAGAAGTTTACTTACGCTGAATTACGTTTACCAATAATTCAGAGGGTCCAATGCTTTATTTACAATAGCTTTGCTCAAAACTGCACAGGTTTTAATCTTTCATCTTTTTTTTTAAATTCATTTTATAGATTGCACTGTTACCACCGGCAGTGAAACCAACTCATTCATGAGGCTGCCGCCACCATGCTTGCCAGTGAGTATAGACTGTTCCAAGGTTTTAAAGCCTTACCTACTTAAAACCAGGCCATTGAAAGCTTAATGTTAAGTTTCATGAGGGTCTCAAAAAATATATATACCAGAACTATGACTAAATGGTGCCTTGGTATCTGTAAAGCTACTCTAAATTAGCTTTACCAGGTCTGCTGAGAATACTGGTCAAATATCCAGGCAGGGTTAAATAGGACGCTTGTTGTTGAATTAAAAATGCATTAGGCTGAGATGCAGTATGCCAAATAAGCAAGTATAGTGGAGGTGATATGTTTACGTAACGCCGTCTTACGTGCTTGTCTCAATTTTCACTTACCGGTGGTGAGTCTGACATATTCGGAAAAATTGCAAATCTTCCTTTTGAAAATAAGCTTATATGAGGGATGCAAACAGCAACTTGCAACAAAGCTTGCCCGGGGAGAAATTGGCTCGTGCACGCTTGTTCTCGCACGCGTTTATTAGGCGTTCCCTCTTGGGAGAGTTGTGCATGTGCATTTTTTGTGGAGAGGGTGGTCCTTTTTAAAAAAAAAATTGAAAAATGTAGTTTAAAAAAGTTAAAACACAATCCACTGGACTTTGTTTCCAAGTTTGAAGTAGGGGGCTCGTTAAAGGGATTGTTGGCCTGGCTGAAGAGCCAAGGTGCTATGTTCCCCTGTAAAGGGGTGGGGGTTGCGATGATGGTGGGAACAGAGCATTTCTATTTAGTGAAAAAGTTTATCTCATAGCAAATAAAAGCAATTAAATAATCACTTCTTTTCATGTGGATTAAAAAAAAAATAATGGCATTACAGACGTTATCTGTACCCTCATTAAAAATCAGTGGGAAATGCTTTATTGGTTTTACAGCAGTAACCAGCTTCCTACATTTGTTTTTTTACGTATTGTTAATATTTATCACTTCCTTATAAACCTATGGCAACGGAGGAACAATCGATTCCCATAACTCCTTAATAGTTTATGTATAAATTAAGATTCATTCTCAGTACCAAATTAAAAAATAATGAGCAGAAACAAAAAAAAAGAAAAAAAAAAAAAGAAATGAACAAAGAAATTATGGTAAAAGGCAAACAGGAAGTTATAAACATATTTATTCTCAATTTCACCTTAAAAGAATGTTTCATATTTCCTTGATTGGTTAAAATGAGACAAAATATTAATCTTAACCAAGAATGGAGACAATAATTAGGAATCCTCAACTTCAAAACATGCTCCTAAAATATTTTACCAATGCTAAAATGGATGGCAAAGCCTAAATTATATAAATCATATAAGTAAAATAGAGAAACCTCTTAAAAAGGGCTCATTCTGCTTGCAACTTAAATAACAAATAATTGTGTAGATGTTAATACATCCCTTTTGGCACATTTTAGGCTGCAGCCACTGACCAACAGCTCTGAGCGAAAACAGCTGAACAAAAAAATAAATAATGCAGAATATAACTAAAATGTGTTCTCAGTTTTCCCTCTGATATTCTTATCACCATGAAATGAATGTGCACAGACCTGAGGTATAAAACTTGGCACTAAAACTTATAAGTCTCCTTGCCCTTATAAAACAGTTTAAATGTCTGGAAAAAAAATCATCTCAGCAGAGTGAGAAAAATGGTCCACTGGTCAACTACCGTTTCTGTGTCCTAATACTTCTAACATGAAGGAAATGTAACCTGCGAGTAAAGGGAACAAAATCCAGCCATACCAAGTAACTAAAAAGGAATATTTTACATCTGGTATTTGAAGTAATTGCACGTATTAATGCCAGGAAGTAGTTCACAGTGAGTCAAGTGTGTAGGATCTGGACTGTAAAACAATACAGGTAAAACCTAAACTCATCCAGGACAACCATGGGTCAAGGCAGCTGTACTCGTATCTACTGTATGTGTAGTTTTTGTTTAAAATGCATCTCAGCACATAGGCAATTGGGTGTAAAGATGGTTGGTAAACAATTAATGTAAAATCCATTTCTGGATCCTGTCAGGTTACTAAATGGGCAGAAAAAAAATTGTGTTTTCCCCCCAGTTTTTTTCATCTAATGCAAATTTAACCTCGGAAATGTATTGTTTAATTACAACAGTCATTTAAAGAAGCATAAAATATATTAGCTGAATTTAAACTATTAATTATCAAGAAGTATTAGGGCAAGGCTAGAGATTTTTTTTTATTTCGAGAATAAAGTCTAACCCTAACCCTAATATTACAAGAATAAGGTAAAAAAATTCCGAGAATAAAGTCATAAAATTACAAGAATAAAGTCATGTTATCAGAATAAAGTCGTGACATTACGAGAATAAAGTCGTAACATTACGAGAATAAACTCATATTACCAGAATAAAGTCGTAACATAATGAGAATAAAGTTGTAACATTACGAGAATAAAGTCGCAACGTTACGAGAATAAAGTCATATTACCAGAATAAAGTCGTAACATTATGAGAATAAAGTTGTAACATTACGTGAAATAAAGTCATAACATTACGAGAATAAAGTCATAACATTACGAGACTAAAGTCATATTACCAGAATAAAGTTGTAACATTACGAGACTAAAGTTGTAACATTGCGACAATAAAGTCGTAACATTACGACAATGAAGTCATAACATTATAAGAATAAAGTCATAACATTATAAGAATAAAGTCATAACATTACGAGAATAAAGTTGTAACATTACCAGAACACAATTGTGTTATTATGAGTAAAGTTGAAAAATTACAAGAATGAAGCCATCATACCACAACCTGTTTCAGAAAGAAAGCTTTAAACTCCAACCAGCATATGATGGCTGACCAGCACCATCAAACAGCAACCTGAGTCCACTTTGACATACTGTCTAATTTGATGCTGGTGCTAAAAGACTTCCTTATTTGTCAAACTGATTCCAAAGTCTAACTTCACAAGGTACTCAACATTCCTCATTTTAGGGAAGAAAGTGCTTCTTGTAAGAGTTGTCAGAAAATGCACCTTTATTTTCGTAATGTTACAACTTTATTCTCAAGATAAAAAAATAAAAATCTCTAGCCTGGGCCTTATCGGTATTCATTATCTGTTATTCATTGCCTCTGCTTATTTTAATTAATTGTATGATTCGATTTTTCACATTTGAGTATGATGCATTTTCATATCTTAAAGCCTAGTTAATAAAAAAGTTGCACTCACACAGTCTAATGCTTTAATTAGGCAAAAAAAAGTGCATAACACACCCCATCACATGTGCATCAAAACTGCACATTTTTTATAAATTGGTTCATCTTGCATACAGCATTCACTCATCAAGTCCCTGAAGTTCCTAGCAAGTACAAGTACTTTCCAAATGAGCCTAAAGGCCAGAAAAGACCCAATCTGATTTTATGTCCGATCCAACAGAAAAGTGTGTCGTGGCGTTTAGCGCCCATTAAAAGTCAATAGGAATAATCACACCAGACACGATTTTACACAAGGGGCTTACGTAGATCCGACTGAGATAGACCCCAGATCTATTTTAGTCAAACTACGTAGCAATTCTCCTTCTTCCACAGGGTACAACTGAGAGGTTATGGAAGCTACTGCCACCTACTGGCCATGTAAGACTCAACCGATGGTTATAGACTAAACAGTATTCGATTAAGTTAAAAAGGTGCAATGTAGATTAAAAGCAAATTGCATAAATTTTGTAACCTCATCTAAGCTTCTCTCTAGGTTAGTATGAATTTAAATCATGGTTTACTGGATGCCTCATCATAGCAACAGGCTCTTGTAGCTACATGTTCCAGTTCAGAGCAGAATCCCAGCAGCTCCACTATGTCATCAACATGGAGCCTATTCTACTTCCCCTCAGCTAATTGTAAACAGGCAGACTGTGCTGCAGAGCTGGACTATGGGTCCCTTCTTGCTCAGAAACCATCTAGAAACCATTTTTGGTAAACTACAGTGGTCAGGGGTTTGTGAATGGTCCAGTTTTAGTGTGCAGAGATTGTGTTGAGTCTGTAGAACAGGGTTCAGTCATGCCTTGAGTGCAGACCTGCTGCTGCTGTGACTGCCCTTTTCCACCAAGCTCTTCTTCACCCTCTGCTTTAAAAACATCTTCGTTCTCTAAAACCAACTCCAGGGTGGGTCCTTGAGCTGCGCTCTCCTCCAGCTCCCCCTCCTCTCTCAGATGGAGTTCTATGTTCATGCTGAGAGATTTTTCTGATTCATCTGGGGGGAAAAAAAGATACTTTAATGCATAAACTAAAAAGGGAAACACAGCCCAAATAGATAATTATGATCTAATGTTATCTGTTTAACACTTAAGTACAGTCGCATCATAAAACAAGCTGAAAATGGAACTTGGATTTATCAGGGATAAAGATTAACACAATAATTCATCTAAAATGATTAGTTTTGTCTTTGAACATTTAGCATGAAGTATGCAGATAGAGGTAATTTTTCTTAGCAAATCTTAGCATAAATCGTCTAGTGAGTCCTGAGTGCTTACCACCTCGCCCAGAAATGTTTGAATAGGATTAAAGGTTAAGAAGGAGCATTTTGATTTTGTTTTGCCATCTCTTTTGGATAATGTTTTGACTGAAACAGACAATTCGCTGGTAGAGTCCAGCTGATTTCAACTTAAGAGACTCATGAACGTTCAATGATGCTATGCATGTATAAAAAGTTCCCTGGGCCCACAGCACAACAGATCCTTTGCTATACCCAAAAGTGGACTCAAGGTGTATATATTTATATTTAATTTGATTCCAAAATTTCCTGATTTTTTTTTTTTTTTATTTTCTGGTTGGTTCTATCTGAATAAGTCACATAGCTGAGGCTAAACTCCCTGTAGAGATTATATAACTCTAGTTATTTATGTTTGTTATAGTAGAACAGATGAAGTTTTTACTTTTGCATCGCCCCTTAAGAACCATTTAAATGGAAGATGGTGTCTAACGGTTTTGCTTGTTGCTAAAATGCTTCTCTTTCCTAAAGTTCTCCAATACCAAGCTCCTTGGAATCCTGCTCACATTGTATGGCAGCTTTAGGGTGTAAAACTAAACTGGATCTCTTTTTTTAAAGGGATTTCCTGTGTTGTTAAAACTTCCTTCTAACCAGTTCAAAATTTCTTTATGGCATCTAAAACAGACAAGATCAATGGCCTATTTTTAAATGGACTTCCTCCTGGTCCTCACCCTGTCCTAGCTGCCTCTCCTGTGGCAGCAGCAGCACGTCCACGTTGTGATGTTTCTCCAGAGCGCTTGTGAGCACAGCACCTTCACGGCTAAACAGAAACACCAAAGGCAAGTTGATGTCTTCGGTGGAGTCGCCATCTCCAACCATCTGGAAGAGTGGCGTCTCCTCACTGTTACTTCCTTCACGATGGTCTAGGGAAGAAGGAAGTATTTGCAACAATTTAGCACCCACATAGTTCAGACGTTGAAACCTTGGAAAAGTGCCCTTAAAATAAATTTTCCATTAAACTGTACCTATAAATATGACTCCACTGGCTCCTGCTTGTTGCAGCCAACGAGCTTTTGCTGCAAACATGCAGTCCCCACGTAATGCCAATGCAATATGGCCTTTAACCTCTGCTGCATTTTCTATTGGCCCACAAGCAGTGTAGGGGGAAGCTTTCACTATGGTTCCTTTCACCTGTGGTAGAGGAATTCTCTTTAGGTCAGTGAAAAAGCAAATTACAATAAAATAAATAATAAAAATTACATTTCTTAAACTCTCCATTCATTATAAGACATTTTTTTTAAATCATATCTATTCTGGGCTTTATATTAATAATGAGTTGCTGCATCTCACTCCGTGCTCCTGCTTGGTGAGGTCCATTCCAAACTTGGCCGGTCCCGCAGTGAGGACCGTCCTGCCCAGAAACGGGGGGGAAATGAGCTGAACAACATGCGGCACCACCAGCTCCTCCTCTGGAGTCTGGCTCACCTCTGCCACAAGCTTTACACGGAACACACCTTTATGCTGCTGCAGATTCCGAAATAAAAAAAGGACAACAAACAACAATCAATTTGAATCCCTCTTTGTTCAGTTGGGATTTGTAACTAATAAGATCATTTATCTACATTTTGTTACTTTGTACTTATGACAGTGTTATGAAAATAAAGTTAAATTCTGTTCTATTCAATCCACTAAAATACATTGACATATATTCAAACTACATGCGCTATTAAACCAGTATTTCAATGACACAATAACAGACTCGTAGAACAATATTTTCTAGGTGACCAGTTAATAAGTACGTTTTGATTTTAGACACTTACTGACAGACATTGACTGCACTCCATTATATCACACTGTTATCTAAAATGACTGTCTAATGCTAAATATAGTGCAGTTTTTTAACTTTAACTTTTTGGAATTTTAATAATGGAGGACCCCAGAGTTTGCTGCACTCAGCCCCCTTTACCAAAAATCTCCTTGCTGATGAAGATTCTCAGTCATCCAGGTCATAGTCATTCCGTAAAAGTTCAAAAAATTTAGATATTACAGGCTCACAATGGAAGCAAACGACCCACTCATCGGTTACCATTTGCATGTTTCCAAGCAATACAAGGCCTTGTCTATATAAGACTCAAACTCACTGCGGATCCAAACATTTGAATTGAGAAAGCTTCCTGGAGAGGTGGCGAAACGTCTTCAAATCTTGGAAACCAAGTCCAGTGGATATTTTTTGAACTTTTACAGAAAAATCTTCTTATTTAGCCCTCTTCTAAATGGCTTGTGACTTTCCACACCCCCATCCTCATGAGGGCCACGCCCCCACAATCCGTAACCGTAATAACCAGAGTTCGTGAGGACAGCCTAGGAGCCTGTAATAATATATAAAAATAGGACTGTAGCTTGACTAATGGCTGCTACTGACAACTCTGAGCAGCTAATTTCCCCTGATGACATAACAAGGGGATTGCTTTTTCAAACACAGCATTTTGAGTACCCATTAGCTAAGAGGTGGGGAAAGATTATGATAGAGAGGAAAGGTTTTTTTTTTTTGTGAAACAGGCTTCAGGGCACATTTCTGTTACAAAATGTAAAAGCTGCATAATTTGGGACCTTTAACGTAACCAAGTTTTAAATTGCATATTGTTAATTAAAGGTTCTAATAACTTTGAGGCTCAGTCTGAATACCTTGGGACCATTAATGTCGCCTTGGGTGATCTCATTCAGTGGAGTGAGAGAGATGCCCATGCTCTTCAAGAACTCCACTGGTTCCATGCCATTATCATGGAGTGGTAGCTCAATTTCCCTGTGAACAGTGATGAAAACCCTCAGTTTCACATAACCGCAGCACAGAGAGAGATTCCTGCACAACGTCCCACCTGAGGGGTAATTGGGTGAAGGCTCGTCCAACCCCAGTCAGGTACTTGTAACCATCCCTAATGGTTTTGGCAAACGACGGGTTGTTGGGAAACAACGTCTCCATGCTGGGACAGGAGTGTGTAAACAGATCCTCATCATGAGCAGCAGCAGTAGCAGCAGCATTATCCTCCTAGACCAAGTAATGCACCAGAATCCAATGTAAGACTTTTAGAATCAATAAAGCTCATTGGTATTTCAACAATGTTTTCTTCATCATTTAAGTTTTATGTCAAGATCAAATGATCTAAAGCGAGAGGTTTTACCGTAACGTTGATCCGAACAGATGCCTGAGTTGTGGACAGAGAGACAGGCAGTAAGTGAGCCTCTGTGGTGAAGATGTAGTCATCTATGTCAATTGGCAGCTGGCTCTTGTCCGTAAACAGCAGGTAGAGGTACTTGAACATCTCGGCAAGAAAAAATGAGTCCATTCTATAAAGAAACGGATAAAAAACAACATATCCATCTATTGCTTTCCTTCAAAGATTGGCGTAGTTTGTCCCAAACAGCACCTGTCTTCATGTGTCCCCGTACGGACGTCCTGCACAGCTGCAAACCCGCAAGGCACCCTGGCAAAGGCGTTGAGCTTTTCCACTATGGATTGTCCCACTCTGAGGTAGTAAGGATCACCAGTGGCCTGCACAGATCATATTATATCCTTAACCTCTCTTCAAAAGACGAAAAAAAAAAAAAAACAGAAACACAAAATTCAAACTATGGAGGATAGGAGCATTTTTATTTGGTTGGGGATTTTAGCAACAGCTTAAATTCCAGGAGTAATAATCATTACATCCAACATGTTTGTTGCCATGGTGAGGTGGCAGACAAAGTGTTAACAAACCAAATATTAAATCATCTATGTTTTTGTGGTTTAGAGCATATAACTGTAAACATGATGGATTTAAGTTACATTTTTGTTTAAGATGTTTACCTTATAGAGGTAGTAGGTGCTTTCTGCAAACTCTGGTCTTAGTAGGTGTTGGCCCCAATGAACTCTGAACTCCGTGGTAAAAGCCTGTGTGGAAATATGTAGCTATATTAATGAGGACAAACATTATAATCATTCTAACAATATTAATAAAGCTCAAAATAGAAGTCGAATACTGCAGCATAAAAGAATAGAGCCGACACCTCTGGAAGGAACTTGTGCTGTTTTGTGACTTGGTACAGCATTTCATGTGTTTCTATGGCTGGTTTTAGATCTCCTGTTAGAACCTATGAAAACAAACACATTTTTTGTTTTGTTTTTTTAAATCAATCTTTATCTGTCATCATTAATTTACCAGTCGTTGCAAACAGAGCATCAGACCTGTAAACCAGGGAAGAAAGCGAGCAGGGAATCCATCCAGCCGCGAACGCTCACTGTGGGATTGTGCATGTGTACGTTGAGTAGAAGAGGAGGCTGGCTGATGTACTTCATGATCGCGCTGTAGTGCTGTTACAGACAAAACATGATAAAGTTGTTCAAAACATCGAATGAGAAGGTGTGTGTTGCGGTACCACAGGCCTTAAAGAAGTATTTGCAGTGGATCCTGTGTGGGAGACCAACAAAGTAGCACTTAATTGCGAAATAAAGGTAAGCAAACCGTTTTATTATTTTCTTTTTATTCCTTAAAAACAAATATCTAAAAAAATATATGGCTTGCATTTTTATCCACTCAATTTATATTAAAAACTCAAGCTCAGTCAGATTGGTTGGAGATCAGTTTTCCTGAATGAATCCAAATAAAATTGACCTCTGGTCTCTGACTGGCTGCCTTCTTGTCCCTTCCAAAATAAAATTCTTCCAACAGCAGGATGCTGCCACCACCATGCTTCATAGTAGTGATGGTGTGTTAAGAGGGATGTCTCAGACTCACAGGTAATATCAGAATGGTCTCAAGACCCAAACTATTGTTTGGAATACAAACAAAAAACCATTATCTATAGTTACTAAGGCGATAAAAACAGCATCAACAACCAATGTATTAGGTTAGGTGGTGTTTCAATATCTTTAAACACATAGATATCCTTCATCACTATTATTTTTATGGTCTTGTTTTATTTCTATAGTGGTTTTCAAGAATACATGCTTGTTGATCTGTGACCAAAACTTTGGGAATCAGTTTTCTAAATAGTTACTGTAATTCCTGTGTGTCCTAATGGAAAGAGCAAGACGACTTCTCAGGGCTTTTTGCATGACTAATCATTGCAAATTTAGTTATAATTTTTTTAAAAATCTAATCAACCACTTTCCTTCCAGGCCCTGATAATGTTTTCCTCTGTTGGCTGTTGCTGTAAACAGGCCAAGTATGAAAACGTTATGTTGGTAATAACAGTTAACCAAGGCAGCATACAGTTGTTTACTGGCGGGAGACTTACGATGTTGAACCTCTGTAGAAATGTATTGTCTCCTAAAAGAATGTAGGCCTTCATCAGGTATTCGTAGTAAGAGTCAATTCCTGCACCAACTCCGCTATCTGTAAAAAAGCAGACGGAAAAAGGCTGTTAAATTACAACAATGTGGGCTTCTTATCGATGTTTTCCAATAACAGGAGGGACTCTGGGATTTATCAGACTCTGGTGAATGTAAATCTGGTGCTAGAATGATCTTACCTTTCCTGACCCATTCTCCATTATGGATATTGATAACAGTTCCTACTAAGTCACTTCCTCTTTGTCTCCGCTCCCAGAGGACATCCAGGGCCTTCCTGGCGTGCTCCTGTGAAACATCAATAATCAGTCAGTTTAAAGTTTCTATAGGAGGCAAATTAATCTCACACCTCAGTAATTACACATATACGGGACACTAATACTCAAAAAAAAAAAAAAAAACATTAGCAGAGCTCAAATTATAGGCTGGTAGTACCTCAAACACAGACTCTCCTGACAGTCTGCTGAGCGCAGCAAACTCCAGGATCATTGTCCCTGCACATGCCGTACACGTGTCAGATTCAGTGCCAGTGCGAGAAAGTGGGTTCAAGGTGCCGTACCGCAGATTCACCTGGGAAACAAAAGAAAACTTTACTGAGAAAAAACAAAATAGCGACCAACATTGATATTTAGTAAAACATAAAATAAAAAATATATATATAAATAAATAGATACATAAATAAATAAAAGGGGGGCTTAAGGTTAAAGTTTAATGCATTTGAACAAGTAATTAGTCAAGCATTCAATATCTCCACAAAGTTTAAAAACGGATCCCAAGTTGAATAAAATTTGGATATTGATCCTCGCACAGTGTATCTAAACTTTTCAGAATAATTATTTCTAAACTGAAACTGTATCTGTGCCTCAATTTTAGTAATGCTTAAGCAAAAACCCTAAACCTTTGAGGGTGATCAAGCAAAAAATAAAAAAAAATAAATAAATAAAAATTTAGATTCAGTGTGAAGATATTTGTTTTAGCCATCATTTATTTGGAACATATTTCCTGATTTCTTCCATCTCTGTACTACAGAGATGGAGAAAGTCTGAAAGTTTAAGTTTGTTTGTAGTAACTTTGTAATAAGGGGTTTAAATAAATCAGATTATTGTAGCACAGGTGTCAGCTAAAGTGTGACATCCACCTTAGGGTAGGGAAGGCCACTGGTGGTGTTGAAGGCAGGAAGCAGTCGCCGGCCCAGCTCTACAGCCATATGAAGGAGCTCATCCTGATACCACTGCATCCTCTCCCCTCGCTGCCGGAGCAGGTCCGCCATCACATGCCCCCCTAAAAGCCCACTGGACACATATTTTCAATAAGATAAATAACATGATAAGAGACCTTCAGAAATATAAAACAGTTTTAATTTTATACCCTAAAACTCTGATGTTGGTCTCAAACACAGACACCACCACATCATTGTCCAAGCGGACGTCCTCCACAGCCTTCTTCACTGCATCCTCAAACTCGTCCAGCTTGTTCAACACCTGTGCACAATGCAAACGTGTGAAAGAGTTAAAATAACTCAACCGCCAAAAGGAAAGTAAGAGGAATAAACTCATCGTTATGCTGGTAAACAGATAAAAAGGAGACACATACCACTAGTGTATCTAGGGTGTCGATCAGCGTGAGGGAAAACCTGCAGAATATGCAGAGCAGTTAATGAGATGGTGAAAGGAGGTCATGTTACTTTTCTGCTGAATAATCTCACATTTCATAACTTTTGAGCACATTGATTACGGTAATCCATGTCCATGATTTATTCCTTCATATTGATTTCAATCCCACAAGATTTCATCTCGTCATATACAATTATGAGTTTGCAAAAAGATTGCAAGAAATTGCTAGTCTGGGTTCCTGATCTCTTTAAAAAATAAACCCCTGGTAAATTATTCCCTAAATTATGATTTCTTCAGTTTTTTATATTCAATACAAAATAATGTTAATTAAATCATACTATGTATTTTCACTTTTTAGCATTAATCAAACACGTTTAATCAATAAAAAGTTTAGAAAACTTTGCAAATGTATTTGACAAACGGTACAGACTGAATAGACTAAATTAATTTCCACCAAACAGTCCTGTTGCTTGAAGGAACCATGAGGCATTACTTGATATTTTAAGGCATCAAATCCCATAAAATAGGTGTCCTTACTTCCCCAAGGAGTCATCAATGTCGCCTCTGCTTGGTTCTTCTCCACGGACTCTCCCTTTGCAGCTTAGAGGCATCAGCTCGTCTGCTGGATAGGCATATTTCTGCAACAGTAACAGCTGCATTTAGAGTTGCCACGACCATCATATAATCATTCTACTCATAGTATTTAGGATATTACCCATCTGCATTCTACTCTTATAGCTGTTATTTATTTGTATAAAACAAATGTAAGGACCTTATTTACATCTTATTTGAAAGCTCAAAACTGATGGCAACTAATTAAGGAGTTGGGGTCATTACCCCTGAACCAATTCATGTAAGATCTATCTATTATAAGAGAAAGACACCCACTCCTCAATAACTGCACATGCATAAAAGTTAAAGGCACAATTTTTTTAATCTGATGCCCGAACAGCCAAAAATTAATGTAAGCTGTTTGTTGCTTAAATTATAAAGAATTTTGAAGCAGTCCTGGTTTAAAGTGTGTGCTGCATTACACCAAAAATGGGACATGTTTGTGATCTATTAAGGAGTGTCATTTCCAAATAAGAAATCCTCTTTCAGCAATTAAAGATGATTGCTTTGTGAAACTATTAATTGATTATTTATATTTGTATTATATTCTAGATTTTCCAATATAATGGTGAACTCACCAGTTTCAATCTTTACATGTTTCTCCAAAATATTGTCTTTGCTTTTTTCCTTTACATTCATCTTTGTATATATTTGTAGCTTTCCGTTTCTGGCCCAGTCTGGTTGTTTTCCAAGTTATGCAGATAATGCTTTCTGAAACACTCTAAACTGGTTCTAGGTTAAAAAAAAAATCTAATAACATTCCCCTCTTCAGTAAACTAAGCCAGAACATAAGTGATCTTACACAGATCTTTAGTCATGCAGCTTCTGATGCTACAAGTAAACAAAAGATTGGAAATAAAACATTGTCCTTACCATGTAACTTCCATAGGCATGGTCAAACATTTCAAGAATTTGGTTTCTGTAAAATAAACAACAATATAACATGAAACCAGGCGCCTTTTCCAGATTATTCCAACTATTTAAGGTCTTTTATGTACAGATTAGCTGTGTTTGCATAGGTTTTCACCTGATGTTGGTCTTCTCTTCTGGTGTCATGCTCTGGTTCTCTAAACATTTCACCCAGCTAAGAAGACTGGTGATCACAAGCGTTTTTAGCATCATCTCGATGGCAAAACAAATGCTTTGTTTCCTTAAAGTTTTATCACCAAGTCTCCTCTTATGTTCTGACATAAGGTTAATCTTAAATGGGAGCAAACAAGCTCCTCTCTATCCAACGCCCACGCAAATCAAACAGTCCAGCTGGCACGGCTGTTCTCCATCAGATCCCAGCTCATTCTCTTGCTTTGGGACCAAAATGGCACAGTTTTAACTACCTGCCAATTTCCATTCTCCCCAGCTTTGTTGTCCTATTCTTTGTCGAATCTTAATAGGGACACCTAATGTAACGTCCATGTAAACAAAGAAGGAAGGGAAACAAGTGAAGAATCCGAAAGAGATTAAGTAAAAATATCTAACCACCATATAAACCACAAAACAAGAAGATACACGCCTCAACTAGCAAACTGAAAGCAACGGTTGACAGTTAGAGGCTCCTCCAGCTGTTGGGAGGCTCCCCGATGCTAGCCCGTTAGCCATGCTAGTTAGCAAACAAGCTTATTAATAAAACAAGTAAAATAAGTTGGACCTAATTAATCCTGGGAAAAAAAAGAGAAAGGAATGCAGCTGCCGTCGTTTTTTCCAATAAAAAAAAAACCTTGGTAGGTTTACAGTCAGCGACGCGAAGCTAAGAAGACCAAGCTGTCAAACAACAGGCTACCCCGGTGTGGAAGGAGCAAACTAAGCCCCGAGTTTGTCTTTCAGGCAATCTCAGTGCCACGTAACACCGGAGCGAGTCCGTCACATTTGCTGTTTCCCCCTTTTTCGTCAACTATTCTTCAATAAATTTCCCCCATGTTCACTTTAATTCTGATATTAACGCCAACTTTACGTTTAGATATAATTAATGATACTATTATCTTCATTTAAATTGTAGAAGATCCCCTTTCAGACCATACTTAGGGTGTACGTTCAAAGGTAGTAGGTTCGCATCATGTGTCATGCGGCTTACCCCGGCTGACCGGAGTATGTGACTGATAGCCTAACATAGCAGCATTTTATGAGTCTAGAAACGTTATGATAATGTTCGTGTCTTAAATTATATATCGCCAATAATCTATTAATCTTTGTAAGTTCATTGGTTATAAAATCCCTAAAAATTTGTCTCTGATATCGTTCCGCTTCGTGTACCATTAATGGCCTCTGACGCCGCATCGTCATCACCCCGGCACGACACCGGCAAAACGTAACCGAATGCACCCACAGGCCGCTACTGACAGCATTGGCACTAATATTCCTATTCTAATTGGAATGCCGCCATACACTAAAGGAAAAAATAGCTAATGCGTGTATGCTAAATTGGAGACCGGGACATAACGGACGTTTTAATGACTTCCCAATAGTTTCTAAATTTTAGCTTAGTAAAAAAATGTGTCCGGTCTGCAGTGTTGAGAATTAACCACAAGGTGTCACTATTGTTCGATCGCGTGGATTTTTTTTTTAGCATCTTTGCAAACTTTTGGGTTCTGATATCAAAAATTGTATTTTTGAACCGAAAATATTTACTTAAGAAGAGTGAAATTGAATCACCTAAGCTCTAACGTTGGCTCCAACTCTAAGAAAAAATATCTAAGGGCAGGTCCAAGAATGAGTCAGACAGAGGGAGGGGAAGGAAATGAAGAAAGAGGACAACATTTATTTCCCACATATCTTATACGTGGGATTTTATTATATTAACATGGTGTGGAAATTTAAACAACGAACCAAACTCTGCTACCACTGATTAAAAAAAAATATTTTATAAAATATACAAACATACAAAAAAACATATAAAAATAGTTTGGAATATTACAATAATACATAAGAAACATCAGAGTTATTAAATAAAAGATGTCAAAATTAAGGGGGATATAAAACAATTAAATAATCACCAGTTTCTGAATCACCATTAATTAATTAATAGATTAATTTAATAAATTTTTTCAACATTTGCTTAAGCAACGTGGTTAAAGTTGACATTTTAACCAAGTAGATTTTTTTTATTCTAATAAAAATAAATGTTTTGTCTCACAATGAGTTAAAGCTGATTTGCTCCAGAGAGGAGGAGTTTTATGATTCAGCACATAACGGGGGTGGCTCCCTTTCTCAACTTCTCTGAAAGGTGTGGCAGTCAGTCTGTACTCACTGCAAACGTGCTTTTCCATCAGCTTATCCTTCAAATCAGGTAAGAAACAAAACAAAACATGATGCCATTCCTTCATTTTTATCTTAGATTCACGCTCTTAAGCGTTTCTTGTGTTTCACGTTTGGTTTTGTTGCGCCTTTCTGCTCCGGAAGGATGTTTTTTTCTTTCTCTAGTATGGAGAAATCGATGTTACATTATTTCCTGCACTCCTCATCTTGCACAGGATTTATTTTTATCTGAAAAACTTAAACCAAGAGAGATAAAGCGGATCAGTTAAAGAGTTATATTGATACTTATAAGATATTTGTTCCTCTTTCTAGGTCTAAACGTTTTACTCTACAATAAACAAAAAGCAAACACAAAGATGTCTGACTCTGTTTGGGTGAGTTTTTGAAAAATACCTGTTATTATTTAATCTGATGTTTTTGTTGGGAATAAAATGCAATTTCTCTCAACTTGTGATGCAGGATGATCTGGACCTGCTCTTAGATTCCCCCTCCTCACTGACTGCAACTGTAAGTTGAACCTACTTATTTACTTATTTAAACCTTCAGAGTTTACTTATAGTTTTATTGAAAGAAATACTTTGCTGTCCACATATGCAGAGGCATAGCCAGAAATTTTTTATAAGGGTGGCCAGGTATCAAACAATGTAGACTGAGGGGGGTCCGAAAGCAGATAAACACCAGAACCTCACGGTCAATCTACACTGTTCCAACAGGAAAAATAACATGTGCAAAACATCCATATTTTTTAAATAAAGACTAACTATACTTTCCTACAGCCTTTTTGTAACAAATTGATTTCTGGGGCGTAAATCTTTTCTATTTCCATTACTTACCTACTTGTATCAATAAACATTCTACATAAAATTGATTTCACTAAAGACTCCTAGATGACTTTCTCTTCACCCCATAAAATATAAAATCTAGTTCTAAAAAGAGCGGGAATTCTGTACTTATTATCTTTGATGTTAGTGTATTGATGTGTGTAATTAACCACAACATTTTTTGAATATTCCACTTGAGAGTATTACAGTTTATGGCCACCCCTGGCCCCCCATCTAGCTCTGCCCCTGCACATATGTAGGTTATATATGAAGAGGCAGCTTTTCTTTTCTTTTTTTATTGAATCAAAGCAGCCTTTTTTTATCTAAAAAAACAACTTGTATTTAATTGCATTGTTTAGTTGACTGGTACCTGTCTTGTATATAATGTGTTAACTTTTTAATTCATTTTCTAGTCTAATGCAAGAGGAACTGTTAAGGAAAAGGCAAATTTTAAGGTAGACGAAGACGTTGCTGCTCTGAGGAAAGCCATAGAGGGGCTTGGTGAGTTAATAAGTTACAGGCATCAGGCTCTTTTATAGCTCTTTTATAGATACACTAAATCACTAAAATAATTGGTAACAATTCAGAAACACATAGGCCCTATTTAAGAGACATAATGCAAAGTTCAAATCATTTTTTTTAAATAATTTCTATAAAATAATGCAAAATCTTTTATTTTTGTTGTTGTTTCTTTAATCATCATAGGTACAACAGAAAAAACCCTGATTGAGGTTCTGACCCAAAGAAGTAACGCCCAGCGTCAGCTTATCAGCGCAGCTTATCAGAAAGCCACCGGAAGGGTATGTGACTCAAAAAAGTATTCAAACCCCTTTGTGCTATATTGGTTTTTGGTGGGATAGACCGACACAAATAAGTGAATAAATGGGGAAAAATGCTTCAAACACAAAAACTAAAAGTGAGACATGCATTTGTATTTATGTTAATACATTTAAACCACATTACAACTGTTTTTTGTTTTCGTCTCTAGTAGCTTTGCTTATGCAAATAATGAAAGTTGGATTGAATTATATAACATATATACTGTTGCTTTTACGTAACTCCTTTCATTGTAGCTCTGCCGGGGTGTTTAGAGTTCTCATGTTGGAGGATCAACCCGGTTTTAGCCTTTAACAGAGGCTAAAACCAGAATACTTACATTTAACCAACTCCCCATTAACTCTAAACAGCTTCACCACAGCATAATGCAGCCAATACTTTGTTTCAGTGTGCAGTATCAGTTTCTTTGAGTAGGCAAAATAAAAATGAACAAACAGAAATAAAGGGTTTTTGTATTTAAAACTAACAAACAGAAAGTTGTTTCGTTTTATGGGTCTAATGGGGAACATTTGTTGTCATTCTTATTAGACATTAGTGGCTGACCTGGAAGGTGACACCCATGGAGACTTTGAGGACTTGTTAGTCGCTCTGGTAACGCCTCCTGCTGTCTACGACTGTCATGAAGTCATAAAAGCCATGAAGGTGAGATTTATCAATATCAGAGCAAAATGTGCTTAACAGATGGATATAATGCACCAGGCTATGTTTTCAATCAGGTTTTTGGGGTCAAAAGAACACATGATCACAGTTTATTCCTAAATAAGTTATATTTGTTCATTAAGGCTTAGTTTTCACTAAAATATTGCATTTTATTTTAACATCCAGGGTCCAGGAACCACTGAGAGTACTCTTACAGAAATCTTCGCTTCCAGATCCAACAAACAGATTAAAGCAATGTCTGACGCATACATGAAAGGTGGGTCAATAAGTAAACTTAGTCACTGAAGCTTCTCAGAAATTTTTCATAGCTGGTTTAGAATGTGTTTTGTTTTTTACAAAAATGTGAAATTCATCGGATTTTTTCATTTCATTAAAGAGACTGGAAGAGTTATGACTCATGATCTGAAGTCGGAGGTATCTGGAGATTATGGCAAAGGACTTCTCATCTTGGCTGAGGTACTGTAGATAAAACTGTAACCAGGCTGTGTTTGCGGCACTCCCTGCAGCAGCACATTTATTTAGAAGGTGGGGATGCATTAACCTGCCAAAGATATTGCTAGAATGGAACTATATCCAAACAGGCTGATTGCTGAATGCTTGGAACGCAAAAATTTATCATCTAAATCCTCTGTTTAAAATTAACCTTGTGCAAGATACAGTAAATTAATAGGAATAACCAGAAGGGTAAATTCAGAGAAAATATCTCCACGTCTATTTGCAGACATATTAGACCATTTAAGGTTAATTGTTGAAAGAGATGCCACCCCTTTTGATTGATCTTCACTGATTTAATGCCATATGCATCCATCTGCTTTTACAGGGAAAGAGAGATGAGAGCATCAACGTGGACGCAGCCAAAGCCAAAGCAGACGCTAAGGTAACCTTTAATATTTTTAATTAATGTCTTCTCACTTAGGTTTCTGCCTTTTAAAGGTAGCTTTCCCTCTAGTGCTTTCACTGACAATTTTTTAACCACAAAGCCTGTGAAACCCTAAAAGGTCAACCTTGTCCCCCACAGGTGCTGTATGAGGCAGGAGAAAAGAAATGGGGAACGGATGAGGAGAAGTTCATCGACATCTTGTGCCACAGGAGTGTTCCTCAGCTTCGACAAAGTGGGTTTAGCTGTTATTTCTTCTCAATAAATATCCAGCTTAACTCATTTTTTTACCGTCCATGTAAAATGGAAATCATGGGAAGGAATGTTATAAATAAGATTGACCTTTAATTATATTTAAGTATTCCTTTTTTAAAACAGGACAGCGTAGAATAATTGAGACGATCATCCCATTTATTTGTCCCAGTGAGGGATAAATAGTATATAAATGGTGAAAAACGCAAAACTCTTATTATTCTATTGATATAATTTCATTTTTCTCAGCTCAGAGACAAAATGATGCATAAGGGACATTTTAAATGTTCTAGGTTACATCAATGTTGCTTTAAATGTATTTAAGTAGAAGTGATTTAGCTGGGCCAGTGAATGGAACTAATAGAAAATTCATTCAGGACTCTGAAAGAACAGCCCAGGGAACCAAGAAGCTGTTTGTATTTAGTCACGTGTAGTGAGGGAGAGGGTACTAACTGGAAAAGAAGGTTTCCTTTTGGTTGGATAGAGAAAGAAGGAACTATTGGGTTCCAGCGAGAAGAATCAGATACCTGCCTGTGTTCCTTGTGAATTATCAGTGACCAACAATGTCGCATAAGACGACAAAAGTTGGTCGAGACATATGAAGGCGTTCCACTGTGGTGGCATGATTCCTTAACATTCATCTGTACAGATGACTCCATTTAAGGGAAATTAAACAAGCTTACCCAAAAAGTATTTCCAAGAAGCATTATTTACAACTGTGCAATAATTGACCAAACTTGCTTGATCTTTCTGTGCACAATTGAGTTTAATAGTAATTTAGTCATTTTTTCGGTGGCCATAGTTCTTATCAATAAGAAGTATTGTAAGAACTAAGAAGTCAGAAGGCTTATCTGTAGCTGTAGTGGCTTATCTGTAGCTGAGGGAAAGCGGCTGGATAAGGTGATCAGGAAGTCCTGCTCTGTGATTGGATGCCCTCTGGACTCTGTGCAGGAGGTGGGAAACAAAAGGATCCTTACTAAATTAACCTCTCTGTTGGATAATGTCTCCCACCCCATACATAAAGCTGTTGCAGAGCTGGAAAGCTTTAGTGACAGACTGCTGCACTCTAAATGCACCAGGGAGCGTTATCACAGATCCTTCCTCCCAGCAGCTTTAAGACTATAACCATCACTGCTTCCAACAACCTCAGAGTGGTTAAATTCATGCTGATTTATGCAGTTTCTCTCTTGGTCACTTAAATAACATGCTGCTGTCATTATGCACANCCTCACTGACTGCAACTGTAAGTTGAACCTACCTATTTACTTATTTAAACCTTCAGAGTTTACTTATAGTTTTATTGAAAGAAATACTTTGCTGTCCACATATGCAGAGGCATAGCCAGAAATTTTTTATAAGGGTGGCCAGGTATCAAACAATGTAGACTGAGGGGGGTCCGAAAGCAGATAAACACCAGAACCTCACGGTCAATCTACACTGTTCCAACAGGAAAAATAACATGTGCAAAACATCCATATTTTTTAAATAAAGACTAACTATACTTTCCTACAGCCTTTGCTAACAAATTGATTTCTTGGGCGTAAATATTTTTCATTTTCATTACTTACCTACTTGTATCAATAAACATTCTACATAAAATTGATTTCACTAAAGACTCCTAGATGACTTTCTCTTCACCCCATAAAATATAAAATCTAGTTCTAAAAAGAGCGGGAATTCTGTACTTATTATCTTTGATGTTAGTGTATTGATGTGTGTAATTAACCACAACATTTTTTGAATATTCCACTTGAGAGTATTACAGTTTATGGCCACCCCTGGCCCCCCATCTAGCTCTGCCCCTGCACATATGTAGGTTATATATGAAGAGGCAGCTTTTCTTTTCTTTTTTTATTGAATCAAAGCAGCCTTTTTTTATCTAAAAAAACAACTTGTATTTAATTGCATTGTTTAGTTGACTGGTACCTGTCTTGTATATAATGTGTTAACTTTTTAATTCATTTTCTAGTCTAATGCAAGAGGAACTGTTAAGGAAAAGGCAAATTTTAAGGTAGACGAAGACGTTGCTGCTCTGAGGAAAGCCATAGAGGGGCTTGGTGAGTTAATAAGTTACAGGCATCAGGCTCTTTTATAGCTCTTTTATAGATACACTAAATCACTAAAACAATTGGTAACAATTCAGAAACACATAGGCCCTATTTAAGAGACATAATGCAAAGTTCAAATCATTTTTTTTAAATAATTTCTATAAAATAATGCAAAATCTTTTATTTTTGTTGTTGTTTCTTTAATCATCATAGGTACAACAGAAAAAACCCTGATTGAGGTTCTGACCCAAAGAAGTAACGCCCAGCGTCAGCTTATCAGCGCAGCTTATCAGAAAGCCACCGGAAGGGTATGTGACTCAAAAAAGTATTCAAACCCCTTTGTGCTATATTGGTTTTTGGTGGGATAGACCGACACAAATAAGTGAATAAATGGGGAAAAATGCTTCAAACACAAAAACTAAAAGTGAGACATGCATTTGTATTTATGTTAATACATTTAAACCACATTACAACTGTTTTTTGTTTTCGTCTCTAGTAGCTTTGCTTATGCAAATAATGAAAGTTGGATTGAATTATATAACATATATACTGTTGCTTTTACGTAACTCCTTTCATTGTAGCTCTGCCGGGGTGTTTAGAGTTCCCCTGTTGGAGGATCAACCCGGTTTTAGCCTTTAACAGAGGCTAAAACCAGAATACTTACATTTAACCAACTCCCCATTAACTCTAAACAGCTTCACCACAGCATAATGCAGCCAATACTTTGTTTCAGTGTGCAGTATCAGTTTCTTTGAGTAGGCAAAATAAAAATGAACAAACAGAAATAAAGGGTTTTTGTATTTAAAACTAACAAACAGAAAGTTGTTTCGTTTTATGGGTCTAATGGGGAACATTTGTTGTCATTCTTATTAGACATTAGTGGCTGACCTGGAAGGTGACACCCATGGAGACTTTGAGGACTTGTTAGTCGCTCTGGTAACGCCTCCTGCTGTCTACGACTGTCATGAAGTCATAAAAGCCATGAAGGTGAGATTTATCAATATCAGAGCAAAATGTGCTTAACAGATGGATATAATGCACCAGGCTATGTTTTCAATCAGGTTTTTGGGGTCAAAAGAACACATGATCACAGTTTATTCCTAAATAAGTTATATTTGTTCATTAAGGCTTAGTTTTCACTAAAATATTGCATTTTATTTTAACATCCAGGGTCCAGGAACCACTGAGAGTACTCTTACAGAAATCTTCGCTTCCAGATCCAACAAACAGATTAAAGCAATGTCTGACGCATACATGAAAGGTGGGTCAATAAGTAAACTTAGTCACTGAAGCTTCTCAGAAATTTTTCATAGCTGGTTTAGAATGTGTTTTGTTTTTTACAAAAATGTGAAATTCATCGGATTTTTTCATTTCATTAAAGAGACTGGAAGAGTTATGACTCATGATCTGAAGTCGGAGGTATCTGGAGATTATGGCAAAGGACTTCTCATCTTGGCTGAGGTACTGTAGATAAAACTGTAACCAGGCTGTGTTTGCGGCACTCCCTGCAGCAGCACATTTATTTAGAAGGTGGGGATGCATTAACCTGCCAAAGATATTGCTAGAATGGAACTATATCCAAACAGGCTGATTGCTGAATGCTTGGAACGCAAAAATTTATCATCTAAATCCTCTGTTTAAAATTAACCTTGTGCAAGATACAGTAAATTAATAGGAATAACCAGAAGGGTAAATTCAGAGAAAATATCTCCACGTCTATTTGCAGACATATTAGACCATTTAAGGTTAATTGTTGAAAGAGATGCCACCCCTTTTGATTGATCTTCACTGATTTAATGCCACATGCATCCATCTGCTTTTACAGGGAAAGAGAGATGAGAGCATCAACGTGGACGCAGCCAAAGCCAAAGCAGACGCTAAGGTAACCTTTGATATTTTTAATTAATGTCTTCTCACTTAGGTTTCTGCCTTTTAAAGGTAGCTTTCCCTCTAGTGCTTTCACTGACAATTTTTTAACCACAAAGCCTGTGAAACCCTAAAAGGTCAACCTTGTCCCCCACAGGTGCTGTATGAGGCAGGAGAAAAGAAATGGGGAACGGATGAGGAGAAGTTCATCGACATCTTGTGCCACAGGAGTGTTCCTCAGCTTCGACAAAGTGGGTTTAGCTGTTATTTCTTCTCAATAAATATCCAGCTTAACTCATTTTTTTACCGTCCATGTAAAATGGAAATCATGGGAAGGAATGTTATAAATAAGATTGACCTTTAATTATATTTAAGTATTCCTTTTTTAAAACAGGACAGCGTAGAATAATTGAGACGATCATCCCATTTATTTGTCCCAGTGAGGGATAAATAGTATATAAATGGTGAAAAACGCTAAACTCTTATTATTCTATTGATATAATTTCATTTTTCTCAGCTCAGAGACAAAATGATGCATAAGGGACATTTTAAATGTTCTAGGTTACATCAATGTTGCTTTAAATGTATTTAAGTAGAAGTGATTTAGCTGGGCCAGTGAATGGAACTAATAGAAAATTCATTCAGGACTCTGAAAGAACAGCCCAGGGAACCAAGAAGCTGTTTGTATTTAGTCACGTGTAGTGAGGGAGAGGGTACTAACTGGAAAAGAAGGTTTCCTTTTGGTTGGATAGAGAAAGAAGGAACTATTGGGTTCCAGCGAGAAGAATCAGATACCTGCCTGTGTTCCTTGTGAATTATCAGTGACCAACAATGTCGCATAAGACGACAAAAGTTGGTCGAGACATATGAAGGCGTTCCACTGTGGTGGCATGATTCCTTAACATTCATCTGTACAGATGACTCCTTTTAAGGGAAATTAAACAGGCTTACCCTCAAGGTATTTCCAAGAAGCATTTTTTACAACCTTGCTATAATTGACCCAATTTGCCTGATCTTTCTGTGCACAATTGAGTTTAATAGTAATTTAGTCATTTTTTCGGTGGCCATAGTTCTTATCAATAAGAAGTATTGTAAGAACTAAGAAGTCAGAAGGCTTATCTGCAGCTGTAGTGGCTTATCTGTAGCTGAGGGAAAGGGGCTGGATAAGGTGATCAGGAAGTCCTGCTCTGTGATTGGATGCCCTCTGGACTCTGTGCAGGAGGTGGGAAACAAAAGGATCCTAAGCTAAATTAAATCCAGAGCTAAATTAACCTCTCTGTTGGATAATGTCTCCCAGTCCCACCCCATACATAAAGCTGTTGCAGAGCTGGAAAGCTCCTTCAATGACAGACTGCTGCAATCTAAATGCACATGGGAGCGTTATCACAGATCCTTCCTCCCAGCAGCTTTAAGACTATAACCATCACTGCTTCCAACAACCTCAAAGAGTGGTTAAATTCATGCTGATTTATGCAGTTTCTCTCTTGGTCACTTAAATAACATGCTGCTGTCATTATGCACAGCTAATGTTGCTATTTTTCACACAGCCATTACTGTAAAGGTGTCCACAGCCGTTTATTGATTTACTCTCCAGATACAGAACATTTATTTAGTAAAAACACTGTACAGTACTTATTTATTTTCCTAACTGTTATTTATTCTGTTATTTTTATACACTTTCTAAAGTCCAAATTATGTGACCACTTCTGCTATAACCTTTTACTGCTGGAACGCCACAATTTCCCCATTGTGGGACAATAAAGGGATTTTTTATTCTATTAAAGGCATATCAACTTTTTTAATAAACCAATCACTGATATTGAAAAGTAAAAAAACACGTTTCTATTGTGTTCCTTCAGCTTTGATCGAGTACAAGAACATTAGCAAAAAAACTCTGCAGGAAAGCATCGAGAGCGAGATGTCTGGAGATTTGGAGAAACTTCTTGTTGCCATTGGTGAGAAATTTTTAACAGCACAAATACAAGGCATCTTCATCTATTAGGATCCTTTGAATATTAACCTTGATTTATTCTCCATCTAGTTAAGTGTGTCAAGAATGCCCCTGCATATTTCGCTGAGAGGCTCTTCAAGGCCATGAAGGTAAAAATCAACTATTTAAAAACAAACAGCTACCAACTAAGTCTGATACATTTGTGCCAAATCAGCCTGTTATTGGTTGGTGGTGTGGAAAGGAATGTTAGGCCATGTTTTACTGTTGATAAAAAGGCGGCAGGAAACTGAAGCAAAAAAAATGATGAAACTGCACATTTAAAGCAAAGTGCATCATATAAATGAGATTTCTGAAGCAGTTTATGTCCTGCTTTATTCAGGGAGCTGGAACCACAGAGTCAACGCTGACGAGGATCGTGGTCAGTCGCTCTGAGATCGATTTAAAGGATATTAAAGCGGAATACAAGAAGCTGTTTGGATTTACCCTCTACAACCAGTTAGAGGTCAGTATCCCAGCTGGATTCAGTTTAATCATTAAGCTCAAATGCTTAAATGTCTGGTTTGTGTTTTTATTATTAAAAGTTCACTAATTTCTTGTTTTCTCTTTATATTTTTATGCATGTGCAGACTGAAGTGTCAGGTAATTACGGTGAAGCCCTCATGCAGCTGTGTGGCCATGAAGACTGACTTCTTCAATCATCCATATCCTCACATACAGCCTGGAGAAAGGATGACCCATAACCAACAGAAGATCTAATGAGTGCCAGATATTAACCTGAATGAATGGAAATAATCCAGACATTCTGTTTATTCCCTAAACAGGTCTTAATTTTCAGTGATATTCTGTACTGTTAACATTTTGCAGTTGAGTGTTTTCAGCCATAACTTTTTAAGTTATCGGGCTGAAAGAAATAAAAAAAACATTCAAAAATCAACATTTACAAAATAAAAATATTTTATTTAACAGTTTTGCTTATATTACTATAGCCGACACCGACGCAGGTCATCAGAACTTTATCTCCTCCTTTCCGCTCGTCTTCTAGAGGCTTCTGGACTTCGATCTTGAACATAATCTGGAAGAAATCTCTGATGTGCCTCAGGAACTCGATCCTGTATGATTAAAAAAAATAAAATAAATAAGAAAAAGAGTTTATCAGATGTGCATTAAAAACCTTCATATTTGGAGTCTCCTTTAAGCAGGGATGATAGGTTCCTTTTTCTCCTGTTGGATACAACTTTTTCAAAACAAAAATTAAAATATTTTTAGGAAAAACACTAATCATCCCTTTATAATCTTTGAACATTACCTGAGTCAGATGGGGAGTGTTTTGTGATGGCACTGCCAATCTTCAGTTATCATAGTACTGTACTTGAGAGGAACACAGCACCGGTACCATGATAGCTGAAAATGGACAGTTCATTGTTCGCTCCCTATGATGACGAGAAAAGCTACCAAATGCAGTTTGAACCCTTCTGTGGTTCATCAGATTATTTCAACTGTTTCTATTTTATATCCATTTCACCTCAAAGCATAAAACAATGATTGCTTCAGCCTCTAAACAAAAATACAAAGGGAGGTTTGGAAAAGATTATATGCTCCTTGCTACTCCTATTCGGTCGCATTGAACCACAAACAAGTGACAAACAAGTGTTGTAGAGGGGATTTATCACATAGACCAGCAATACACGTAGCAAAATTATCAGATAAAAGCAAGATATGAAATGTTTTTTCAAACAAAAAGTTTTGCTTGAATTTGTGGATTTTTTGAGGAAAATTGAGAAATTCGCTTAAGTCGTGTTTTTTAGGCTAATTATCTGCCTGCTGTAATTTAATCTGAGATGCAGCTGGTTTATGAAGGCATCAGAGGTCAGTTAGTGATCAAACAGCAACAGGAGGAGCAGCCTCATCAAGGATAAAGGAGTGGTTTGGTTGGAAAGAAATTTTGAGCCTTGAACATCTGAGAAAAAAACATCCTAAACATTAAACTCTTTGATAGAAACATAATGTAAGGAGAAGGATGCATTTTTCCACCCAGCAGAAACAACCAATCTGGTCAAAAACTGCTTATACAGTAAGTCAGTGAAACATCAGACTTAAATCCACCAGAGAATATGGAGCCAAGACCTAAAAGAAGGATTTTCAGACACATCTGACTGATTTTGCAGAGAAGAATAATTCTTATTTCAGTACCTAGATGTATAAAGTCACTACTCAAATTAATAAATACAAAAATTTATAAATACAAAAATCTGCACCTATAACTGCAAATAAAGGTACAGAATTGGATTTAGATTAAATACTTTGTTGATCTATACCAAAAAATACCACTAAAATGTGTTGGAAGTTTGTGGCCAAATTAGGACAACGTTCAAAGCCTATGAATCCTTCAGCGGGGAGCTGTAGCTACAAAGATGCATGCATTTGTTTGGATTAAAAATACACAGTTATTAGATTTTTCTTTTTAATTCTACACACCAGTAACTCAATCTGGTTGCATAAAATATTTTTATGACAACTTACAACATCCTGCTGGCGTATTTAGTTTTATTTTTTATGCTTTCTTTTCGCAGTTTGTTATTTAAAGTAGCCTCTCTGTGTATATTTATCATTTGTACTGTGACTGGGATTGTGTCACTGTGTGTGCATACAGTTGGTCAAGAACTTGAGGCAATAGAGGCGAGTGAGTGCGGAACTCAATGTATGTGAAAAGGGGCAAGAAGGTTTTTTGACTCCCAGAGGAAAAAAACCCGGGATTTCCCTGGGAAAACAATCTGATCATCGGAGTAAACTAAAGCTAAAGCTCCAGCTTTATTTTACTCTAATGATCAGAGCTCAGAAAGCATTCTGATGCTGAGAAGTAGATAGAAACATTAGCACTTTTAAGCCCTATCCTCTGAGCTATCATGACCGTGTAAAGGCATGGACAGGACTTATTGAGAAGCTGCATCCAGAGCGACCATCTGGCTTTGTGGTAGTTGAACGGTTCCTCAGGTAGATGGCGTCACACTTTATTTAATGTCAGCTCATACAGTAGTAGCCATTCAACATTTCCCCACTTTCCTTGGCGGTTGCTCTACAATTCCTTTTTAAACATCAATCTTTGTACTAAAATATTCTGTCATGATTTGCAGACATTAAGATCTAAAGAGAAGCGACATCTACTGGTCAGACCCTGTAATTTAGTGAAAGGGTGGAGTCAGAGTAAAAAATATGCACGCCCAGGAGAAGGAGGGGGTCACTCCATTGGCTGGAAGTTGGAGGGGATTTTGCTGGGAGTTGCAGGGAAGTGGGCTATAGGCTAAATAGGAACCCCAGCATCTTGTGTATTTAGAGTAAAAAATGACAACCTAAACACCATCAGGGTGGAGGTTTGGATAGTAAAGTCTCATTTTATTATAATCAACTGGATTTTGGTCTTTAGTATAAGCCTACAGCATGACTATATACCTTTAATGGTCCTGCTACTGCGCGAGCTGGCTTTCTGTCTGGAAACAGAAATCCATTTTAACTTTGCACACCTATTCCACGTTTTTAACTCCAAACACTTTTTTAAACAGAATTGGAAGAACTTTCAGTTAATGAAGTAAGAAATTTAGGAACAGCAGCTAAGAGTCCAACTTTCTGCAGGCTTAAAATTCCTTCTTTTTGTCAGGGTAGGAGTGTCAGGAAGTTTTGGATAACAGCTGCTTACGTGTATGGGGAGAGCGGCCCGAGCAGAACCTTTGACACATCCTGTTGGCCAAGGGTCATCAGGAGCAGAGCCAGGCTCTGATTGGATGAATCCACACAGCCGCCCTAAAGAGGGGAGAAAAAAAAAAGAAGCTATTTTTTAGCAGTGAAAAACAGCAAAGTACGTCATGGGGGTGGGGATGTTTAGAAAGAGCTGACCGTCAAAGAATTCTGAGATTAAAGACAAACATGGATAAAGAAAATGTTAACCATTCCTTTGCACGTGTTTGTCATAGATGTGTAAAATTTTCCACCTGTATATCTCTTTGCCAAACGCTCCACATGTCTCACACACATCAAACATTCACAAGAAAGAGGATCTACTCTGTGCATTCAAGTTTATACATGCCACAGCCGTTACTCAACCAGAGCTATGCAAAAATCCTCAATCTGTGAGAAGTGAGTCGTTCTCAATGGACACACCCAGATGTGTTTTCCAAACTATATTTGTTTTTGTTTTTTTCTATCATCACCCAGGAGCAGAGATCTTTACCATATCTCCAAATCATTTTGTGGTTCTAAAGAACTATTTGGACACAGTAATGCAGTCAATCCTGTGGCATCGTGACAGCTCGTCAGCAGAAATATGATTCAATTACGCAATTAGAACACTGAAAACATTGTGGAAGGATGACAACACTGTTTATATTGTCGACGGCAGCCAAAGTGTTTGTTAATTGAATTAATTAAGCTTTAAAACACGTGCCACTGCTTCTCTTCCACCATTTTGTAAACATAGATATTGGTAATATTGCTATTTTTTTGCTATATTATACATAAAGGCATTATTCATCATTATTTTCTATTTAATTTTGTAAAATTTAAAAAAAATAAGCAAATAAAAGAATTACCATTTTTATAGCTTAAAAAAAATTTATAGTAACTAAAAAGCAAACAATTTTTCTCCGCGAATAAAAATCCGAGTAATATCTGAGAAAATTGTTCCACTCACAGCAGAGCAAACTAAGAGACTAGATTTGAATTCAAAACCTTCATTTTCACCCCCTGCCTGTGACTTTTGTGTAAGGAGGCCAAAAATCACCAAAAAGCTACTGATGGAAAAGCCCCTTAAGCCCACAGAGCGATATTATTTCTTTAAAAAGCAGAACTTTATGGTTAAAAAGCGATAAATTAATCAATCCTGTGAATCTGGTGCCAACAGGGTTGGTTTTAATATTTTATTAGTGAGCAGAAATGAGTTAAAGCCAAAATATTTCTTACTAATCCTGGTTGAGTATTTTTTTTATACATTTGGATCAAATAAAAAAATCTACATTAAGCATATGGAGATTGTGTAAAGAAATACAGAAATCTAAAAGATGAAGCTGTAATAGAGCACGGCACTTACATCAGCTCCTGTTGAGTGTTGACGTTGCTTTAGAAAACAAGTTGTCTGCAGTGTTTGGACGGTGCGCTACTAGCTGGTTTTACTGATTAACCATAAAACAAACAGAAACATGGAGGGCACCCATGCCTGCCCCCAAACACTAATCCTGAACCGTTTTCTAAAATGAAGAAAAAACATTTCCAATACCAGCTTTCACTGAGATGCTCTCTTTCTGCTGTTTCTGATTTTCTTTGCCAACTTTAGAAATATAAGAAAAGACAAAGTAAAAAATACTGAAACGTAAAACTAAATGTTCCAAAAGCTTTAGCCTTTTTGAACGGACACATTTCAAAACTTACCCCTCTGGAACGCAGCAAAGAGAAACTGGTTTGCCTTGCACTGTTGCCTGGAGTTAAGAGGATGCCTCAACAATATTCCTCTTTCAGAGTTAATGAGCGCTACCCTGACCAGCTAACTGGACTCACATGGCTCCGATGGGAGAGGCCTGAGCTTCGCAGCCGTGTGGGGAAGCGCTAAAGACACAAGCCGTTATTGTAAACGCTCTGTAGGAGCTGCATATTTTACCCATCAACAAGCGAGGAGATCTGTCTGTATGTCCAGTTAACAAGCAGCTTAATGCAGCTGTGGTCCATGAAGCACAAACACACAGGTGGAGAGACTCACACATTTTTTTCATTTTTGATATCTGCTCAATAGTTCCTGTTGAACAAACCAAGAGGCTGCCTTATAACAAAAAAAAATCTCTAATCTGTAGCTTTAAAGGGGAACGCCTTTTTTCATTTATTTAT